ACCTGTAGATGGGCTTAGCTTCCCCATCAGGTACAATGTGTTTGTCCTCTTCTTCTCAGAGGAGAGCTGAGATTGAAATATGGCCGTTGCCTCTCCTACAGTGGAGCAGTTGGTGAGGGGAGCCCTTGCCCTCTCTTTCCACCAGGATCCAACCCACGGCCCTGTTAGATTCAGCAGTGTCCAGTATCTGCAGTATCTTTGAAGTTACCCTTTCTGGATCACTTACTACCATCTGTCTCTCCCCCACAGGTACAAATCCAAGTTAAGGTAAGAAAATTAAAAGAAATGACACCTAAAACTTGAGCCCTAACTGCACTCACCATGCAGTCCTACTCCACACACATAGGCTTCTTTAGTACTCTTGTCCAGCAGTTCTCAGGATAGGCCTAATTTCTTCACTAGCCTCCCTCTGACTGAATTGGGTTTGCTCCCTTTAAGGTTCCTCTCCAGTTGGAGAATGTCCTGCAGGTCTGGAGGAGAACTACCAGAGCCAAGTACTGTCTTTTAATCTCTTCAGGCCCAGCATGGGGCTTCATAGGCACCATGCATTACATATTCATTGCTGTACTCAATTTCTGCTCAGCCCACATTCAGATTCTCTACTAAAAAATGTTTTTTTGAGAGTTTATATGGATTAAAGTCAGAAGTTTGTTTCCCTAAAATCTGTATGTGGGATTAAGGAAGATTATGAAGACAAATTTTTGGTGTCTTCTCCAAACTCAGACAGCCATGTCTCATTGGTGATGTCACGAGGTGAGGCTGGGACAAGAGTAAATTAATTTAATAGCTTTTGAGGTATATTTGAGGGTCCCAAAGTACAAAAACCTTTTCTGGGACAAATCTAAAATATATTTGAGAGAGTTTGTGCATCTGTGCCTGTCCAACCATCTGTGAGTCCACTTATTCAAGAACTCTTCTTAAATGTCAGAGGGGTAGCTGTGTTAGTCTGAATTTGCAAAAGTGGTGGAGTCCGGTTGCACCTTATAGACTAACTGAAGAGTTGGAGCATAAGCTTTCGTGGACAAAGACCCACTTTGTCAGATGCATTTAGTGGAAATTTCCAGAGGCAGGTATAAATATGCAGGACAGAATCAGGTTGGAGATGATGAGGTGGATCCAATCAGGGAGGATGAGGCCCACTTCTAGTAGCTGATCTGGAGGTGTGAATTCCAAGAGAGGAGAAGCTGCTTTTGTAGTTAGCGAGCCATTTACAGTCTTTGTTTAATCCTGAGTTGATTGTGTCAAACTTGAAGATGAACTGTAGCTCAGCAGTTTCTCTTTGAAGTCTGGTCCTGAAGTTTTTTTGCTGCAGGATGGCTACCTTTAGATCTGCAATTGTGTATGTCCAGGGAGATTGAAGTGTTCCCCTACAGGTTTTTGTATGTTGCCATTCCTAATATCTGATTTGTGTCCATTGATTCTTTTACGTAGGGACTGTCCAGTTTGGCCAATGTATATAGCAGTGGGGCATTGTTGGCACATGATGGCATATATTACGTTGGTAGATGTGCAGGAGAATGAACCAGTGACAGTATGGCTGATCTGGTTAGGTCCTGTGATGGTGTTGCTGGTGTATATATGTGGGCAGAGTTGGCACCAAGGATTGTTGCATGGATTGGTTCCTGAGTTAGAGTTATTATGGTGTGGTGTGTAGTTGCTGGTGAGAATATGCTTCAGGTTGGTGGGTTGTCTGTGGGCAAGGACTGGCCTGCCTCCCAAGGCCTGTGAAAGTGAGGGATCATTGTCCAGGATGGGTTGTAGATCACTAATGATGCATTGGAGAGGTTTTAGCTGAGGACTCTCACAGGCCTTGGGAGACAGGACAATCCTTGCCTACAGATAATCCCTAACCTGAAGCAAATTCTTTCCAGAAGCCACACATCACACCTCAGACTCACTCACCCAGAAACTTTCCCCTTCAAATAACCCCATTGCCAACACTGTCCATATATCTATACTAGTGTCACTATCACAAGACCTAACCATATCAGCCATCACACCAAAGGCTATTACAACTGCACATCCTCTAATGTGATATATGCCATCAAGTGCAAGCAATGACCCTCTGCCATGTATATTGGCCAAACTGGACAGTCTCTATGACAAAGGATTAACAGACACGAAACAGATATTAGAAATGGTAACACACACAAACCTGTAGGGGAATATTTTAACCTGCCTGGGCACTCATTAATGGACATATAAGAAGCCCTTCTTCTGCCAAGGATTTTCACAAGCCAACTACAGAGAGTGCAGAACTGACCTTCATATGTAAATTTGACACTATCTCCCTTGGCCTGAACAAAGACTTGAACTGGTTAACATATAACACCAACTTTATTTACAATCAACACCCTATTGACATTAAAAGCTAAGTGTGGGACACTTCCAGCCTACTCAATTAGCCTCATTAGCACAGGGACTACAATTGACAGGTAATTGTTTGCCCTCCCTCTCTCTTTTTATTCTTTTTTGTGTAAGGACCTGAGCAATGCCAGGGAAATCTCCTAATAATGAATAATAAAGTTACAAAACAGCAGTAGCAGCTCTCAATGTAGGTTATTCCTCTGCAAAATTCCCTGTGCTCTTTGATATATAGAGAGGAGATAAAAAGAATCAAAATTCAATAGATTTACAGTAAAGATGATATACTGAACTGTGTTTTAGTTTCTATTCATATTGTTCCCCATCCCCTTACTTTTTTAGGTTTAGTCTTTTACACTATTGGACTTACAATTACCTATGACTCTTCCCTTTAATATTTCCCTCCTTTTGTTCTTCACTATATTTTCCTCTCAGGAATTGTTCTCAGGAGATTAAGCCATGCCCCACTTCTGTGTAATAGGTAAGTATAAATACATTATACCATTGTACACAGAGATTTGGAAAGCAATTTCCATATATTTAGAGAAAAGCTGCATTAAATGTGTTGTTTCATTAAGGCTAGTGTGGTTGCTGTCCTATTATCAACTGATATTTCATTTCTATAGTTTTGTTTTTCAATCCAATTAATTCTACCTAATGGATAATTACTTAACAGCTAAAGCACAATAGTTATTATCAAGTTGCCATTGTCTTCAATTCCAGATTCTCTTCCAAAACTCTACCACTGTCTAATAAAGCACAGCCAAACAGATGAAAATATGTCTGTGGCAAATACTCCATTAAAAAGATATTTTTCTTTCAAACTATATTATTAGTGAATTTTTACCACTTTGTCATAAATGAATAGGTGAGAAATTATATAATAGCACATATGGCCTAGGTTTGCAGAAAAATTTCCCTCAAATCTGGAGTTTTTAGTGCAATAGTTGAATTTTTTCAAAGAAAATCAATGTTAATATTGACCCCAAAACAACAAAGCACTCAAACATGTGACAAACCCCACAAAAGTTTATGCGACTTCTCATATGATTAACATTAGGCATATGACTAAGAGCTTTGCAAAACTGGGACCATTATGAGTAATAGCAACTCAAGACACATTAAAAAAAAGAGAACAGTTCTTGCTCTGTATAATACATTTAATCTTCAAAGCAATTTACAAAACATAGCTAATCAATCCTGACAATATCCCATTAGGTTGGTAAACATATGGTGGTTTTTTTGCTCAGTTAAAGAAAATGAAAATCTTCCTGAATCCAAGGCCAAACAGTAAATCCATATTATATGTGAGCATAATGAGCTTTCACGGGCACAACCCACTTCTTCTGATGAGTGGAGAAAAAAGGAAAAATCCCGCAATTTAAAGCAGAAAAAGAAGGGACAGGGGAGGGGAAAATTCCCCTGTGAATTACAGTGCCAGCTGATAGATTTTTTTCCCCTACCCCTCTCCCTTTTTTTCCCCCTAACATGGCTACTCCTCTGAAACTTTTAAACTCTGTGTGAAGATCATCTTACCATGATAAATCATAATGGAGGGAAATTTAGGGAATTATTTTGACAGGACCAACTAGCGGAAACATATTTTGGGGTCCAATTAGTTCTATAGAATGAACTTATGCCTAATTTAAACATTAATGGATTTTACATGAAAGATGAGTTTGACCCATGGTTCTTGTTTAACTGAAATGCAGCTTTGTTTTATTATTTTGACTGATTATTTTGTTTTTCTAACTTGACTTTCTTTTTTACATGATCAGATTGCATAGCCTATATAATGTCACAATTCTAGTATAGCATTTATCTTCACATTTGACAGGACGATGAAAACTTAGTTATAGCTAAGTATGCCAGCATAAGTACCGTCTGGATGAAGCATTTATCTTTCCGTGTTTAATCCACAACATAGCACAGGATTTTTTAAAAAAATTACATGTTTCCACTGTAACACTTCCATTTCAGCTGAAATTGTGCAGTATGGCCCAATAGACAGTACCAGGAATCAATTCCCAGTTTTGTTACTTGTTAATAGTCTCCCTTGAACAAATCACTTATGTCCAATTCTATGTCCACCTCACAGTGAGGTAAACAAGCATAAGCATCACTGTAGGATCACATTATCTAAAAATTGTCTCAGAATATTCATAGACAAAACTGAGGTTTTATGAAAATGTTTATGAATCCTGAATATAAAGTTAAGGTCATCTATCTTATTTGCTGTTCTGACAAGTTCCCTGCCCTGATGTTTTTAAATTATTTTAGTTTCTTCCCTTTTCCACCATGTAATCTTAATCTATTTTTTTTAAAAAAAATAGGACTTATATTATGATAATTAGTGTTAAATAAATCCATAACTTTTCCTTCTGTTCTTTCTACAGCTTCTAACCTTTCCTTATGCCATATATTACTATTTTGTGTTTTTCCACCCCACTGTGTCACCCTGGTTTTGTTCACCTGATGATTCTTCATTTTTGTGACTGTCCAGTTTGGCTTACTTTGCCTGGTGTTTAGGTCTACTTTTTTTCCTACCACAGAGGACACTCATTTGCACTTCATGAATGAGTAGCATTTACAGCCTGCATTCATATACCAGAACATTGCATGTGTTCCACATTGAACCATCTCACATGCTGCCCTAGTTGCTTTTTACAGCAGTCATTACTTATTTCAGAATAACACTTGCTTCCTGGAACCAGGCAGTATGAAGGTAGTCTGCTACCTTAACACCCATTTTTTTAGCATTCCTTTTGTATATATCTAGCTCCTTAGTGTTGTTTATTTATTCTCTTCTGCTTCTATTAGCTATGACAATATATATTGATCTACTGAAGATCAAACTTCCTTAGTGTTTTCAATGTTGCACTGTTGAAATATAACACTAGAAAAGCATCATAGATATATTTTAGGGACACAAAAGGCCTCATTACCATAGTATCTGAGCATCTCACAATCCTGAAGGTATTTATTTTCATAATATCTCTGGGAGGTGCTATTAATGCCAGTTTACAGATCATCTAGTCTGACCTGTATAGATTATCATGTATAATGCAGGCCACAATATTTCAGGAATTGCATTATTATGAAGTCATTGTACCTCCTTGTTGTGACCTTAAAAAGCCCTCGCTGTCAACTGGCATAGAGCTCACTATTCTGTCAGCACTTCCTGCCAGACTTGACAAACTCATTACATCTCATACACTGGTATTGTAGTATTTATCTGCATTGAATGTTGTATGAGTTATCCAATGAAAGCTGATGACATCCTGGTCATAGATGTTGTGGTGAAATCATAGAATACTAGGACTGGAAGGGACCTTGAGAGGTCATTGAATACAGTCCCCTGCCCTCAGTATGTATATACTGATGCCATATAAGGAGTTATGTATACAACCAAAACCATGTTGTCAAGTCTGTAAGAAGGCAGAGTGCCCAAACAGGTCATCTACCAGACAGAAGCAAATCTATTCACTATTTTTTGTCTTCATTATAAATTAAAAGTTGTACAACCAAACACAAAGGAAACCCCTTTTACATATTAATTCAACAGGAAAAACATAGTGACTGGAGGAGATGAAACCAAAAGGGAAAAGCACACTGGAGCCTGAACCCCAGAGCTCTGGAAACAAAGGCAATAAACTTTAGACTATATAAGGAGGAGGAGAATAGTTTGATGTGCATTTCCTGAGGGATCCCACTGAAGGGCATAAGGGGATCATGAAAATGTAGATCCTGTATCTCTGAAAATATCAGCAAGTTCTGTCAGAGTCTCAGGGTATGTCTACACTACAATGTTAGTTCGAACTAACGGACGTTAGTTCGAACTAACATTCATAGGCGCTACACTAGCGCTCCGCTAGTTCGAATTTGAATCGAACTAGCGGAGCGCTTAGTTCGAACTAGGAAAACCTCATTTTACGAGGATTAAGCCTAGTTCGAACTTACTAGTTCGAATTAAGGGGTGTGTAGCCCCTTAATTCGAACTAGTGGGAGGCTAGCCCTCCCCAGCTTTCCCTGGTGGCCACTCTGGCCAACACCAGGGAAACTCTATGCCCCCCTCCCGGCCCCGGACCCCTTAAAGGGGCATGGGCTGGCTACGGTGCCCGTGCCAGGTGCAAGCTTGCCAGCACCCAGCCAGCAGACCCTGCACCTGGCACGGATC